CTGTCGTAACTCAAAATTATGCCACTGAGAAAACACGATTTGAAAATTAAAAAACTCATAGTATAATTTAGACTTACTTATAACACATTGTTCGGAAAAAATCCATTCAGCATTTTTTTTAAATTTTCAAATTGATTGCTCTTAATTTCACAATTTTGCGTTACGACAGTTTTGGCGATTTGTTTTTGTTATTTTTCATTCATTTACGATTCCATCCTGAAATCGATATCTTGAAAATTTGTATTGTATTTCAAAATCGACAATGTATATTACTAAAAGCTTACTAAAACTCCTAAAAAATCACCTAACATTGCTTCAAACATCAATTCTACGGTATATATATACGAATGTACATATTTATATATATTCACTAACTGTCAGCTATGCTACAAGCTTAAAACTATAATGTTACTCGATCTAGACAATGTAACATTAAGTAAGTATGTTTTTTTGGAGATTTTCGCCAGTCTACGCCAATGACGAGAGGGAGGTGGGACTGGAATACAGTGCTCTCTGCAGTGCAGGTACTGTAACGAAACTGCAGCTGCAGTGTCACTCAGAGCTCTATCGTGGCAAACAAAAACACTGTAAGTTCCAGTACAGTGTTTTGTTATTTCATAACAACAAACATTTTCCGGTTATTACCAAAGCAAAAGAAAATACATTTTTCAATAGAAATAGCCTATTTTGGAAAGTCAGATAAAATATCTAATGTACAGTTAATAGCACATCAAAGCAAGGCAACGGAATAAGACTTATTGTATGTATTATTGTGATTTAATTTATACGGTCGGCAGCATGTCCGTACCGAAAATGGACAAGAAATGCTGTCCCTGACATTACAGTGTATCGGTTTGACATGGTAGTTAGTGCTTATATGGTAAAGATCTGAGAGGCACTGCCACTGTCGCATCCTCGCCAGCACTCTTCAAAAACGGCTATTTGTGCCGCACGAAACATTATTTTTATATATATCGAGTTCTTAGGTTTTCGCGATTGTTACACATAGAAAATGAAACTATTTTTCCGGATTTAAATCGCGTATATTTGTTTTTTCAAACAAACCGACGTTTCGGGCCCTTTACAGGTCCCATGGTCAACTGTTACCGTGATTTAAATCCGGAAAAATAGTTTCCTTTCCTATTATTTTTATATAGTTTTAAAATCATCTGATATCTTCATACAAATATATAAATGCAGATGAGACTGTTTCCAAACGTTCGGTTATCAAATAAGTAACAAAAATGTAACTTCGTTCCAGAGGCGTAGGCAGTACAAACCTATCTAATATATTATATTAAGGAGAATATCTTTATGTTAATATTAAAACATTTGTTAATATCAAGTTAAATCAGGTCTCAATTATTGTTAACAATAGACAATAATTTACATACAAATCCTATAGACTAACACCAAACACGGCAAATTAACAAATAGCAATTTTACGCACAAATGCTTTTATTCGTTCAAATAAAGGAGTTTGTTAAAACTTCTACATTTTATTGTTAAATATCAAATGTGATAATTACAGGTAAATTCAATTTATTATATATGTAGTCTAATTTTTTAACAGCTACAAAAGAATTGTTTCAAAACACTTTATTATTTGTAGGTTATAAAAATGTTTGGTAATTACATGGTAGTATATATACTAACTACACTGCTTTGCAAAATTATAAAATAGTTTCAACTAAATAATGTACAATTATCTTCACATAGCCCTGTGCCATATTGCCTACTTCTAGTGGACCGATTCCTAGTATTTTTGGGTCCAGATTTTAAAAGCTAGCTTAACTGAAACTTTGTGAAATTGATTCCTAAATTTACAATGGGTGCACTGTAGTTTTTTTGCTAAGTTTCTTTTCAATATTTAGCATATAAAGGCGCGTTTGTCTTTAGCAAGTTACTTGCCTACAAGTCTGCCAATATTGACACTTGATGATAATAAATTAGTTTTTTGAATAGTTTCATAAATTATTGCTTTATTTGTAAATAACTATGTTACTAGAAGAATACGAACATATTCGAATGTTAAGCAAAAATGGGACTAAAATTTACAAAAAAATTTTTACTATTAAGCATTATTTAATGCAAAGAGCCTTAAAGTTTCAAAGCTTAGAAAATATAAAAATAGCTGAATTCAAAATTCCAACCTTTACGTATCACCTTTAGAGCTCCTTTTCAAGGATTTGCCGTCAGTCTTGCCAGCTCCGTGTCCTTGATATTTGCAATTTACTCTATCAACCCAAATAATAATTATTGTGCAATTTATGTCGTGCCGTGGCCCTTTGCTCTCGTTCTTAGTCCGACATCTGTCCGAAATAATTACCGTCAAATAATTACTACACGACCAAGTTAAAAGACGCATGATGCGAATGACGCTTCATATTCGACATTGTATTTTAATATGATCGAGTATTAATTATTTGACAGTAGTTGTTTCGGACGGACTCGTTCTCAGTCTGAACTGAGAACGGGTGTAGACCCCGGGTACGACTTGTGACCAGGAGTGGGTAAATGCACTTTAATCTCCATATTTAACAAAAGAATCGAAATTTCGAAAACTACAATTACACAATTGAGAAAAATGCATTGAATTATATAGATGGACTTTTTTGACAAAAAAGCTGTTTATTTTCTAGAAAAATATAGCTCTACTTTTGTGTTGCGCGGGTAGGTAGACTTTTGAAATTTTGATTAGGCCTAAACACGGGGTCATAAAGTGGTATACGACTTTACCACAAATGTCTTTTGACATTTTTCATTATACATACATGAAAATTTTATTGAATGGTTCGTATAAAGATATAATGCATAGCACATTTCTTCACCAATTTTAATATCGGTTTTGGTTCTCTAATCTAATAAATTTACGTAACACAATTATAATTTCATTCACTATACTACAACAACAAAACGCTGACAAAAAAAAAATTAAAAATGTCATCAATATTGACCGCATTACCGCCAATTTTTAAGAAAAGAATTTCTTAATTACGTAATATTTTAAAAATAAAAAAAGAATATGTGGCATGCAATAAAAAAATGTAGAACAGCTACAGAATTAAACATCAAAAATATTTAAAAAGCAACTCAACAGATAAGACAGAAATTAAAAGAAACCCCTGTACGCAGGTTTCTTTTAATTTCTGTTCGATTGCTGGTCGAAATTTAAATTTTATAATACTACAATAACGTATTTGAATAATTGAAAATAAAATTGTCAGCCCCTTTGTCTCAGAAGATGGGGAACATAGATTTCACAAATCTACTTAAAGGAATGAGCGCAAGAAACGAATTAATATAATTATAATATTACATTACGATTTAATTAATAAATTACAATTTATTGTTACATTTGTGCATATTAAGCGGCTTTCAGCCTGTGCCATCAGGCAAGTTAGTTGAACGATTACTTACAACTAAACAAGTGCAAACATTGATTTTTATATTAGCGCGTTGTTAACCAGTCACTAAAATAAAATTCATTGCTTATATATATATCTATACGTAGATAGTAAACAGGGAGGTTAGACTAAAATAGATTGTTAAAAGGTGGATCTTTGACCTTCCAAACAATGCCGATTGTGTAGGAATAGACTAGAATTTTGACTTTGACTTGTTCCACAAATAACTTATTGGGCATTGACTAAAAAATTAACTAACTTAAAGCACTTATATAATTATTGTGTAGACTCAAATCGCACATTAATATCAACTCTATTTATTAGTTCCAAATTAATCTTTAAAAATTCTTAATTTCTTTTGAGTGAAAAAAATTGTAAAGTAAATAAATAAATTTCATTATAAATAAATATTTTTTCTACGAACGTATAAATATTGCTCTATATAAATTATTCCAAATTTAAATTATATATAGCTATACAAAAACAAAATTATTCTTTACCTAAGATTAGTAATATGTATATAAATACTTAAATATTAATTTTATTTGTAGGTACTGAAGTAAAAGTTACATGTTATTGTTATTATCTCTTATTATAATATATTTTGTTTTACATTCTGTTTAAATCTTTAATATTCACAGTTACTGAAAACGATATTATTATTAAAACTTTAAAAAGCTTAATCTACAAAATATTTGTTTGTACTGTTTATTTATACGTGGATATTTTTTCTTATTTTATAATTTCTCTTTTTGTTTCTTTTTATTATTTTTTTATAAATTCAATTTGTTTATTACGAAATCAAAATTATAATAAATATTTATAACAAAATAAGAATAAATATATTTTTTTATCATATATTTATACAAATACAGAATCTGGAACTGAATTCATAAATGGCATTAGGAAAAGTACGAAATTATTGGAGAAATAATTTTGTATGGAATCGAAAATATTTTACACGAAATTCATTAAAAACTTTATCATTGATAAAAGTAATAAATATATTTTTTCAAATTGTTTTTAATATTATCATTATATTAAATGTTTTTACTTTTGCTATGCTCCAGAGTGAACCGCCGTTTATAATAACAATTAGGTAGTATATGATCTGGGTTGCCTAGTGGTTGGCATTGTCGGCCCTAGTTGAGGAGGTCCCGGGTTCGATTTCCAGTAGTGCCAAGTTGAGAATTATCTTTTCAAAATTGGCTCTGGTCTGAATTTTGCAGGTGTGCGTGAACTCCGTTGCTCTGTTTAAAGTACAGGGAATTTTCTAATTTAGGCACATTATTATTATACATGCACTCCACATGTAATTCGTACTTTTCTAGATGCCATGTAATAACTAATACACTATAACATATACGTTATATGTTATAGTAAATTATTTATATATAATACAGACGACGAAATTATTAAACAATTAACAACACAAAAATAATCGATGCCAAAATATTTATAGAAATAAATATAAAAAATGTAATAAAATCTTAATTCCCATACAAAACTTTGTGCTTCGTGTGCGCTTCGCTCTCGCTATCAAATTTTTCATTCAGTGAAAAAATAAAATCTCCTTACAACATTTTAACCGACTTACGTATAAAAGTTATTATACCTTATTTAAAAAAACATCCACTGATTATGTTCACTTATTAAACGCTACTTGGGTTAGTCACGAAAAGTCGAATTGGTTCTGCACAAGACAACATCAAACGGTCCAACTCAAAAACATACCTTACAACATCTAACAAGAATAGAAATTGTCGTATGAGTCGATATGATGAGACGCGTCGCTTGCTGCGCGGGCGCCGGCCAAGTGCGGCCGACAACCCCGGTGCCGTACGGCTTTAGTGAAAACCAGTTCCTTATCGCTTCCCGTTCTTACACTCCCGTGTGGTTGAAGATGAACGAGACCGCGTTCTTGTCCACCGGCGGCGATCGGCGTGTGATCGACGTATGGTTGTTGTTGTTGTAATGCCAAGACTTCCTTGTCGATGTACTCGACGACTGGAGTGCAATCGTCTCGTAATACCGTAGCCGTCCACAGCATTTTTTGCTCTTCATAATCGCGACAAAACCCTTTCTGTACTTCTTATTAAAGAAGGCGTACAGAATGGGATTGATGCAGGAGTTTGACGATCCCAACCATTGAGCTAGAGGAGTGACCACTGGGAACATATCTTCTTCCCATTTCTGGATAGGACCTCCTAACTTTATCCTTGCAAAGATGAGGTAAAGCGGGAACCATGATAGGACAAACAAAATTACGACAACTACTAGCATTTTCACTACTTTGACTTTTGATTTCTGTTGCATGCGCTCCATTTGGGCATCTTGGGTGTCTGTGGGAATTGCTCGGCGCCAGACTTTGATCCAGATTAGAATGTAGCACAGTGTGATAAGGATCATTGGAAGAATGTAGCAAAAGATGAGATTTCCCACGACGAAGTAAAGAATTTCGCTCAAAGGGTTCGGCCAGACGTCAAGGCAGAGTCTGACATTGGGGTTGTCTTCGAAGACCACAACAAGATCGAAGAAGAAGACCCATGGTGTGGTGACGACGATAGCGAATATCCAGATGAAGACAATCATCATCCTGGCTCGGCGTTTGGTGATCTGGCATTTCAGAGGCCACCAGATGGCGAGGAATCTGTAACAAAAAAAGGAAAAAAATTGAAACCTACTATTGTAGTAGTAAGTAGTAGTAACTAAGTTACTTTTTCGGTTATTAGATACTGTTTAAATGTAATACATTTCTGAATAATATATTATAGATAGATACGAGGAATTACACAACAAAAGATACAATAGATGTTTATGTCTAAATCGCATAATGTCTCGTAATAGTCCATCCATTCAGAGCCGAGTTATTTTCTCTTGTGGCACTAAATGCTATTGTGTGGAAGATGTAAAGTAATTGGAACCAGTGAAGTAATTGGAGGTTTCGTCGAAAACAAGTTATGTAATGAACATATGCAAATAGATTACACTGATGAATCTGAATTTGGATGGTAACGTTATAAATTTGGATGGTAACGTTATAATGTCTTGTTACTAAGATAATTAACTGGCGCTCAACATGTGTTGCTTTGACACGTACTTGTTTTCGGCGGAATTTGTTCAAGTATTATTAGCCTCCTTTACACACACACTTTATCACGCGTGACCAGGAGCGTACAGGATTGCGCGCGACAAAGTATGCTCACGCAATCGTGTGCGATTACTTGTATTGAAGTTATTTAAGCAAACGTTTTTATTACAACGGAAGAGAGTGCAATAGCGCAGTCTTTCCATTTTCATTCCAACATCTTTAAATGCGCGCTAATCGCGCATAATGGCTGTATCACGCGCGAAAGAGTGCCTGCAAATCCCTCTATTCAGATTAGTATTAGCTTTCATTAGTATCAACTTTTTATAAGTTCTTTCTTGGTAGTTGGCTCTTCTATTTAGAGGAGAGTTAGAGACTTCACAGGCTTTCCAAGGGTTTACCTTCTTGAACATGTATATTCATCAGGACATTTTTTTTATTTGTAATTATGGACTATGCTTTCAACTGAAAATTATCATCGTTGCACTTGAACTAACCGCTCACGCGATGCGCTCTTCCTACCGCAAAATGGCGGCTATTTGGTTTCGCAAATTAGAAAAGCATTCAGTTTTAATACAAGTTTTTATAAATAAAAATTATTATTCTGCATTGCTAAATAAATACCCTCCGTACTACCAACAAAAATATCTCAAACTGTTATAACTTCGATATCCGATAAATCGGTATAAAATCATCACCGGCACCTCTAGGTGTGGTATGCGTCTACGGCTGCATGTATCGCGTGAGCGGCTAAGATGACACCAAGTTGAGTGGATACGAATTTCGTAACAGCAAATCAATCAAAAATAAGTTCTTCCAGGTGTCGCTAGGCGCAAAAAAACCGTTTAAACCTAAAATTATGAAATTCGTAAGATGTGCTGCCTTGATCCTTAGCTCAGTTGGCGGAGCGGTAGCTACACTGAGGCAGCAGACGCTAGTTGAAGTCCAGTCGAATCGAAGGAATATTTCGTTGAGTTTGTTCAATATTTGTATCAATAATAAATAAGAACTCGATTATTTGTTTAATAGTTATTTTTTCATCATGCAAACATGTTGGCTTTTTCTTCTAGTTATGTATTATTTATCTCAATTATCAAATTCTATATACTTTCATAAAACGTTTATTTTTAATATTAATCCTCTGTCAATGAAATGAAAATGACAAAGTTTGGAAGAAATTTAAAAACCTAAGACACGTAATAACACGTAAACAGATCTGAACAAAGAAGCGAAATTGCAAGATAAGAAAGGCGTGTAGCAGACGTAAATAGTAAATTTAATGTCGTCCAAAAAATACCAAAAGTATTAGTGCCAACCTGTCACTTTGTAAAGAGAACGAGCAAACTTTACGAGGGTCATCTTCCTTGTAAGCTTGTTTACTGGTTTTACGCACAGGCGGATGGCATTACGTTTTTGGCATCGTAGGTGCCAAAGGGATGGCCTGATTTGAAAACCTTTAACCATTAACAACCTTTTTTTATTATAAAGTTAACTTAATCGAGATCATTCTTATCTATGTTTGATGAACATCCATGCAGCCATATAAAAATCATCAACACTTTTAAGAGTTACAGCTGGAATCTGAGTTATGAATATTAGAAGACGCTACAATAACATGGTAACCTCGATCTGATGCTTGGGGCCAGTTAAATTGGCATTCGCAACAGAACAAACGTGACAGACCATAACAAAAGTTCAAAGTGTCAATTTTAGTTTACCGTAAAACAGTAACGCTTATTAATGCGTTCGTATTTTTAAATAATTGTTAAAGTTCGTAATAAAGTTTTTGAGTTCATGATAATTAACTGACATATTAATGCCCCATAAAGTTTAATGTAAACAATTAATTACTGCTGGACATGTCTTAGTGGCATTTCGTAAATTATTTCCGATCATTTATCAAGTGTCTTAAATGTGTGAAATAATTTTAGCTTGTAAACGTTTATCTTCATGCGTAGGAGTGTACAATACATAAAAAAGAAGATAATTATCGCTAAAACTTACTCACTTCCTGCATTATTTAACTTATAAATCTAAACTCGAACTCAAGTAATTTTTATTTGAAAGGTGTGCAAGTTTATTCATAAAGAGATTAATATTCTTACACCAGCGTCATAGTAGTGACAGACATAACATTAACACGAGGAATAAAAATAACCTAGCTATTATTGACAATCGTATTCACAAAGTTTCAAATTCATTTAAGGGGCATTGAAGGGTATAAGCTTCTTTAATAAGATTCCGGTTGATATTCAAAATTTGCCATTGACGAGGTTTAAAACTAAGTTACGTGTTTTCAAATGTCATAATGTTTACTACTCGTATATATAAATTTATTTGCATAAAAAACGTACAAAGTTAAGAGCCCTTTTTGATGTTATTAAAAACAGCCTTACAAAAATGTGAATGAATTTTTTTTTGTTTTCGTTTATCGTTAATGGTGCTTTTGACACATTCAATTAAATTACTTGATATGTTCTTGTATTTTTAAGATTAATAAGAGATTATATGTGTCAAGATGTTTTCACCTTAACCGTGACTACAACAGACATTAAAATTTTACCACTGTTTGAGAAGTTTAATGGATTGCTTTTAAAAGGTTGCAGGACAATGAAAATGTCTTGATTACAGGTTGGAAACATTGTCCGTTTCGCTACGGTACCATCCTGTAAGTAACATTTAATTCTTATGGATTTAGGGGCAATTAAATACTACGTATATAAGAGTGGTCATATTTGATTATGCACACTGACCGACGACGGGACCGCTTAGTTCATTTATTTTCACAGTATTATGTCATATAGAATTTGTTATTTTGGGGCGCAGCTTCTAATGTTGAAACAATTTTTATTTTACAGAACACGTATCTCACTCAAGATATTAGCATATTGGCCACTGCATCGCAATTTATTTACATTTCTCTACATTTTGTGATTCTCGATATTGAATTGTTTAATAAACGGAGTGACTTAGGCATTAGGAAGGAGGAATTAGAATTAACGTCACATGACTCCAAAACAATATATATGCCTATGCAAATATCGGAGTGAATAGTATTAGGAACAGCTACAATTCGCATCTCATTATTTAACTCCACTACAAGTTGCTTCGAAGCCCGATTTTGTATAGAAACATTTTCAAACAAAATGAATGACTGATCAATGAATGAAAAAAAATGAATGACATTTGTGTTCTAATGGTTGAATATTTTGTGATTACAATCTTCTTTAACATCAAGCTTGTATTAAATTCTGGTACGAACAAAAACGATGAAAAGATAAGTGGCTCCAGGACATAAAACATCGATGCTCTGTAAATTTCAGCTTTCTGTGATATTCGTGGAAAATGTATTAAATCTTTTTAAGAGATTGTAATATTTCAGGGCTTAACTTAGGTTCTACTAAGCCTTTTACATTGTAGACGATTTATATAATGTCTAGTCGTAACATTTACTCACTCTAAATGGGTAAATTTATCATTTAACAGACGCTTGCATTCAAGACGGGATTTCGGTTTGAAACCGGTATGTACGAGTATATGTCATGATGTTACTTTTGTCACACAGCTTTGGAGGCTGATAGCAAGATAGCAAGTGTGTGATGTGACAGTCGAACACCCCAAAAGACTCAAATACGCCATATTCAGTCTTGGGTGCCTGGGGGTCAAGCGTCTGATGACTAGGAGACTGGCAGATAGGAGAATAAACTAGCTGCCTAAATATTGCCAGTAGGGTGCGGACCTCGATGATGTTTTTTATCTAAATCTGTGTGAATGCGTTTGTAGACAGAATTACACGCCTGTGGTGGACCATTAAAGACAAAAATATGAAATATTATAATTAAATGTCAATAACATCTGTTTACTTAAACATGTCTTTGACAACAATTCGATATGACGTGGTGCACATAATGAAATAACTCGTATTGAAATATCGATACATTTCATTGATAAATATTTCGATGAACTCGAACCTGTTTTTGATACGAACGACTTTTGGGTTGTAGTAAAGTTGTGACAAGTAGTAGCGCGACACAATATTCTTTAAGATATGTTTATTTATTTATTTAATCATTCACTGCACAGGAAAATAAAAATTATGTGATACAATAACATTAAATTATATAAATACTTAGATAAATACATATTTCATAATATAATACCTATGAAATGGACGAAATAGTAAATAAATAATGCTCCATAAATCTCATTTTGTAAATAGCTATCTTCGTGAACGTAACAAATATCCTTCGAGGCGATGTCATCACGAATATGCATTTGCATTTTCTAGATTACAACTAAGAACAATATTTTTAATATATACACGATATTGACCTATAAAATCCCCTGCCATAGTTACATTCAAATATATACATCAATTTAAAATGTAGGCATAAAATCCCAATAAAAACTTATCGTAATAAAAATTTATCCATTCGCTAGAAAACACTCCGCAAACTTAATATATTTACTTCAATTAATTCTGCGAAAGCTGTTTGAAGAGATAAGGGAATTAAGAGATTTGACGAAAGTGCAATGAGCTGAATGCATTATTTCCAAGCTAA